AATCCTCAATACCAGTTTTGTGTTCCCTTGAATACTTTAATATAACCCATTTCAAGCTGTTGGAAAAGAACAGCTATAAGTTACATAAATAATTATTTTAATATCAAAATGGTTATGAAACAGCTTAACTATTATGTATCATTAGTGGCAGGGCATGTTTGAAATGTGGTCTGTACTTTTTTCTCCTTCAAAAGACATTATGTTTTAAAAATGAGACCAACTACATTCTGTATTGAACTTCATAAGGCTGATTAAGCTAGGAAAATTGCCTATATTTGTTTTGACCTCAATGACAAGTGCAGTCATAAAACCCTCACTCTGGTTGTGTGTTTTTAGATGCCAGTCATTTGACTTTATATTTTTCACTATAATTTGATGAAACATTGAACTGACATCAAAGCTACATAATGTGTTGCAAATTTATTAAAATCTATTGAAGTAGGAACTTCTCCTATATGCACTGAAAATACATGAAGAAAGCATTATATCTATATACTAATTAGGAATGTGAAGGAGGGAAAACTTACATGTCTTCTCAGATTACAGAAAGAGCCATTGCTAAGTACTATAATTAACATTTACCAATACAAAAAAAGAGAATTTATATTGGTAGAATTGATACTTTATAGATGGAATAAATTATTACAGCTCTTCAACAAATATTGTTTCCAAAAAACTCATTTCGTAAAATCAACAAACTTTTAACTAAGAACATTGCACCATATGTAGCTCGAATTAACTGAATGTTTTTGAAGTAAATGAACAACACTAGAGATTGGAGAATGATCCAGGTTTTAATAAATGTGTTGTACAATCATGGCCACTGCTGTATTTTGGTTGGTACTACTTTGTCAAGCGTAAGGTTACACTGTGACTCTGTTATAAAGTAAAAACTTTCCTTGTGTTTGGGCCAGATTGGAGCAGTCTTGTATGTATCTGGTTGCTAATTTAGTACTCAAAGAAATAGTATTTTATTTGAATTGCTGTGTGTTATTTGACAGCAATTACATTGTTTAAGGGCAACTTAAAGCAATTTGAAAGTGAGACAGGAAAACACGTATCCTCTTTTATTTAATTAGGATGTGGATTTTCATTTTGTTATTCAGGTCAAAGAAAAATGACCACAAAAAGTGTAAGACTACATGAGTTGTCAAGAACTAAGGGGTACAAATGTCTTTGGTATCACTTATGATGGACCATGGAGGACATTTATACTCAATCAGCTGGAAGCGCTGTATGATCCTGTGTGTAAACCATTTTCAGAGGACAGAGCTTCTTCCCAGGAGCCCCTCCTCGATTCCCACTCCAATTACAGTCCAGTCAGCTCTGACACTATAAGGCACACACACTGCTGTTTTCAGACAGACAGCAGAGGACATACACCTGCATTAATATACCAGTTTCATAACAGCACAAGACTAAAAATAACAATGAATTATTAAGAATGGCAAAATGGTTAGCAGCTTTGCGTGCACAAAGCTGCTAACCAATGAGCTGTGCTGAAACTAGCATCTTCATAGAAAGTGCTAACATTTCACTGTCACTCCTTAATAAGGGTAAGTTGTAAGCAGAGCTGAAGCCGATGGAGAACTGTGCACATGCCTTTTCTATTTGGAAACAGAGTGTTTCATAAGTTTCAGGATGAAAAGGGAGCATCAAGACAAGATGGCTGCCAGGCTGAATAAAAGAACCAGTCATTATAGAGAAGAAGCGGGAGTGAGAGCAATCTCGCCTTTGAAAATCATCAGGCTGAACACAGCAAAACCCAAGGCTGTAATTAGACCGAGCCATTACAGCCTCGCTTTGCATGTCGAGTCAGGGTGAGGGAGATAGAGAGAGGACATTAGTCAGAGCATGGCAACAAATACATGCTCAACAAGGTTTGTTCAGGTGGTGTTTTATACATCATATCCTTTGCAGTGGTGCTTACAGAAATATTTCACAGGGGTCAACAAATTAGTAAATATTTTGGGATGACACAGCTAAAAAATAAATTGATAATTTTTTCCACAGTTGTACAATACATACTATTTCTATCCTATTTATTCTGTTTTCAATCAGCAGAAAAATGTGCCTGGAGATAAAGCACAGGGTAATCCTGTGAGAAAGTTTACAGACTTTAGTCAGGAGTGGAGGATCATCTTCCAGCCTGACAACAACTCTTAACAACTCTTCCAGCCTGACAACAACTCTTAACATACAGCCAGGGATAAAATGAAGTGGTATGATAGATGTGTCCATGCTTCAACATAGCATGGACATGAATTACAGGCTGAATTGCCTCTTTAATATGTCAGAAAGTTCTGCAATTACAATTACGAATGAGGAAAACATGTTTGTCCTCTTGTGGGAAACTTTGTAGAATCTGGACAGTTTATGATGAATGCAAAGAGAAAATTACTTGGGTGAGAACCATCAAATGCAGGAAGTGTGAAAGTGAATGGAAATGTTTTAAAATAGAAGAAACAAGAGGAACAACATTAGATGTGTAAACCAGAGGTGACAGGTAGTGTGTTGGATGCTCCAAACAGGGGCAATGAAGTATATGTGCCGAGCAGAGAAAGTGAGATTAAATGAGACTAAATGATTCTGCACAAGAATGCGTACAATATGAAAGTTCTGGAGGCATGAATGGAGGTGGGATGGGGGCTATAATAACATCTTAATACTACTGAATAGTAAATAAATCAGTTTTGCCTAAAAATATTTGTAATAACCTATTAATAAATCAAGGGAACACATAAAAGACAGAATACAAGGCCTTAAGCAGTGAATTTGGACACAAATTATTTGCTCAAATGCACTGAACAGTTGGACTGAGAACTGCAAAAGCTGAAAACTACAGCTCAGGTCTGAGCTTGAGAAAATGCTTGCAACTGTACTACAGCTTAAAGATTCACTTCACTGTGTTGTTTTATCCTCCTTTTCCTGGACATTGTGATCAACAGGAGCTACAAAGGGGATAATCTTTTATCTACTGTTAATCCTACAAAAACCTTTAAAATTGTGCCTTGAAAATTATTTGCCCTTTTACAGTTTTCTTCTGTTTTTATTTTGTACCATGCCTAAATGTTTTGGATCATATATGTCAATATTTTAATTGGTTTATAGTGTCACCAATCAATCAGGGTTGACAGTGCAAACATTTATGCAAACAGTTGCTGCTGCCACTGCGATAACACAGCGCCCTCCAGTTGGAGGTTGGACCCCAGAGAACAGAGGTTATTAGAGTGTATGCTAACTTTTTTTAAAAAATGTTACTTCTTCAAGAATGGTGACACACTCAGTTTTATGCACACACTGACACAAGTTGTTTGTGTTATGCATGTGTGCATCACTGGCAAAGCGACAGGAAAACTTGTTTGCAACCTCGCCACACACGTTGCCTTTGTGTACAGACTGTTTATAATATACAGTGGATGAAGCCTGCACAAGAGTGTGTACAAGCAGTATTACAGTTAAGGATTAAAGTGAAACTTAATGTTTAAAATGCTGATTGCACCAGAGTGAAACTCATAGTTATAAAAAGACTAAAATAATTCTAACAGGGAAATATCCAATTTACATTCAAATATACTTTAAAAACAAAGTAAACTTGTTCTTTGGTGCTCAACACTGACTGTGAAGTCTTTCAAGAACATAAGGTGCAAATATGCAAATTATTAAATGTCTGCACTACTGCATAATTGGAATTACAGAAGGAAAAATAAGCTACTGTTTGAATTAGCTCACTTCAGCCAGCTGGGTAAAGGAGAAGTAAGAAAGAGAAAATCATAAAAGTGAAATATAATCAACATTATTGGCCTAAAACATTGGTAGTTACCAGGATTTAAAAAAAACAAAAACTATCTCCCCTACTTTCTGTGAGTGCTTTGCTGGGTGAAATTCAGAACACCAACTCACACGTAGAGTTGTGTCCATGTGATGGATGACATTGTATCCATGTCATTTGTTGTTGATCATAGAAAGTGCATTTCTTCTTAACAGGAGCAAAAAAATCTAACTGGGAGACAAGCATAGGCATTTTCACAGATAAGGGAATGACCGCGAGACATGTGGCTTAAACGTACTTATTTAGTCTTTATAACAAAGCTTCTAACAGAGTATAATAGAAATAGGACAGTGGAAGGTAAGCAAAAGTACTATAAGTCATCCAATTTACTTTTTTTCTCACCAAGTACAATGGACTGTTTTGTTAATATTCTTAGTCTCTCCCTTTCCAACACACTACAATCTAAAGAAGTCAAAGGGTTAATCTTTTAACTCTCCTTACGTGAGCAAACTGCTTAGATCCAAAAATGGTCTTTCACATTCTGCACCTCAAGTATTCATACTTTCCAACTTTTCCAGAGTTGTGCAGCTGAGGTGATAACTGACAATTATAATCTACTGAAAGTTGCAGCTCCTTACATCTCTCCCATCTGTCTCATCATCTATCACCGGTGAGCTCTGTCATCAGCACTGTGGGATAATCGAAGGCTGTGATCATGTTACGACAACAGCAGAGAAGACTTGCTGCTATTCTGCTCCCCAGCTGAGCATAAGGCACAAATGAGTTCAATTCAAATTGAACAGAGACAGACAGTCCCTTCTTATTCTGCTGCTTTTCTACAAGCAGATTCGTTTTCAGCTCTTACAGTTGAGAGACAACATAAAGCATGACAGCTGCTTAGGAAATGTATGGCAAAAAATACTCTGAAAAATTATTGATTCAAAGAGGTTTCACAGCAAGGATGTCCCAATCCAATCCCAGGTATGGAATCAGGGTCCTACTTACAGAAGCTTTAAAAGACTCACACAATACTAATATGAATGTATGTTGATATTTTACAACAATATAAACTTTGTGAATTTTTAGAAAATATTTCCTCGGAAATTACAGCTTTCAAGCTTCAACATGAGCATTTTAGCCGCAAAAGAAGGCTTTAGGATTGTCACTTCCACCAGAGTCCTCTATAGAAGTGTGATACACTGTAAAGCTTCCTTAAATTTGTTACTACCTTCATGAAGACGAAGAGGCCCAGTGTGACGAAGACATTGACTTGTGGATGTATCCAGGCTTGGGAGTGTCCAATGTAATCAAATTCCTCAGCAATTCCATGTTTTGTCCATGTCCAGTTATCAAATAAAGTCTCCAGAGTTTCCGCCTGAGTCAACTAGAAGACACAGAAAATAATTACAAGTCAGAAGCAGGCAGCAGAACTTTTTGCATCAATCGTTTGTAATATAATTACAAATTATGCAGCTTTTTGGATTATTAAATAGTGTGAATTCTGTTTGTAAATTAAAAGCTGAAGTATTGATGAGTATATTATTAAATTGAAATTGTGACATGGCAAATTAAAAATGAAACCTGCCATTTATATATCAGGACAAAAAAAATACTGTTGGAATTATGTCTCTCTTAACATGGAGAAGGTAACCAAATCTAAACAAATAAACAGTTTATATATAAGATTGTGTTTTTCGAATATTTATCCAGACCTGAAATATTCCATATTTACCCAGACTTTTCAAGACTGTGTAAGAATCCTTTCCATTTCCTAACATTTAGACCCAGGCAGCTCATGTTACTAGCAAACATTCAGTCCCTGGAGGCATACAAGTTGTTGAGCTATGTCCACAGAAAAACAACCAGAAAAACTTGTTTGAACTCTTAACAGCTTTGTGATCTTGTGTTACTCTTGTGTCAAACTCCACAGAGATCTGTCTCTTGTGCAGAGATGGACTGACTTCAAGAGGAAGAATATCAGACAGTCCATCTGCCAGGTATCTGGAAAAGCCTGGTTACTGGGAAACATGGAGCTACAATGAATCAGTTTTACTTTCTCTGAACTAAACAACTGCGCTTACTGTAGACACATCTTTCTTTCAACTAAGAGAGATAGTTGTACCTGGAAAGAAGAAACCGCCCGTCACTGATTTCACATGATTTCTTAATAATTAACCCCTATAGATGTCAAATGTTTCTGGAAGAAACTTTCTAGGTGATCTACAAATAGACAAAAGAGAACTTTTGTGGAACCTTAAAATACCTTTTTTGCCTCCAATGTCTCCTCCAGGGCTCAGAACAAACACAATATACAAAGTGTAAGCAGGATCTTTCAAGTTGAATTCCAGATGATTTTCATCTTCTTGCTATTTACTCATGCTCACACCTGCTTGTTTACAGCTCTCCATGATAGTTAAAGTGACAATTGTGACTCAGAGCATATCTAAAACACATTTAGAATTTAGAAAATTTGACGTTTTGGGCCGAGATTCACAGCAGGTTTTAATGGAAAAGCCTCCTCTAAATGTGAGCAGAGGAAAGATGATGAGCTCAAGGTTTTACAAAATGTCACCGGAGATTTAAATTTTACAATATCCATCAAGGATTATACTGTGACAAAATCATCTGAAGCCGTACAAAAGTCACATCAGCTGCAGACAGCGTTGGAGATAAAGTTCCCACCGGCAGAGATGATGATGAAGAGTGTGCCGGGAAGACAAAGGGATCACAGATACAAATTTCTGAGTGGGTACTCCAAAGAGAAGAGCTTTAAGAGGAGTAAGCCAACATGGGCAGTGCTTCTGAAGTCTTCAACACGTTCTTATTTGGAGCCAAGGCAAAGTGCGTGTGCGCGTGTGTGTAGTTGGTTTGGGCGTGTGTGTATGTGTGTCTTGAGTGTACGAAGGATGGTGGGTCTATTCTTTTTCTAATTCCGATTATTAACCGGATGAAGGGGATAAAACCGGAGAAGGCACAACACATGCTCATGAGTCATCCCTGGAGCAAAACCACAATATGCTGGTCCATGTTTCCAGTGTACACTGATGTGTCACTAGCACTCACAGGTACATTTATACCCCTTTAAGCTATTATGACCAGAGGCTTAAAAAGAAAGAAAGTAAAAAGTTTTTGGTTATTGGACAATTTGAACCTGTCTGCTCCAATCATATCTATCAACCTCTCGCTGTAAACAGAGAATACTCTTACAGCCTTTAGCATATGGCTCCTTATCAGTACACACAAACCAAAGAACCACAAAACTCTAGTAGGAGTCTGAAAGATCTGTCGGGATGTCTCCATAAAATGCAGCTGTCTTTCAACTTTTTACAAATGTGATTCTTCAATTAGCTTAATGGACAAAATATCAGATGTTTCCAACCATTCAGTCATAGTGGATAAAGCGGAAAATGTACCTATTAAAGTCCTATTTGGCCTATTTTTCTTACATGATCTTAACTTTTGAAAGATGTCGGGACTATACCTTTCCAGCCATAAACTGCCCAAGTCCGGGTGGAAATGTCAGTGTTGAAATCAGTACAGTGACCAGCACTGGATAGAGCAGTCGCCTGAAAGAGTAAGAGGAGAAAAAAAGAAAAGAAATTAGAAAAATAAATTATTTTCATATTTGCACTTCACTTATTGAAGAGTAAACATGCTGTAAATTCAGTTAGAAGCCATGTTGAAAAAAAGCAACCCTTGAGGTCATCATTATCATAGTAGTGAATTATCACACAAATTTAAAATGTGCAATTATCATCAAGAGATGTATGTTTAGCTGTTACTGTTGGCTTTAAATAAATAGCCTAGAATGTGTTGAAGTGAATAAACATAAAATACAATTTGTTTCTTCATGTCTTCACAGTTTTCAGTGAAATACAAGTTTGAAAAAAGCTGTATGTAAAACCCTTTTATTATTGTAACATAATAAAGTACCACAATAGATTTTCAGGGATGTGATTTGAAATACCACTTTAAAACTGTTTTACAAACTGTTTTTCAGTTGCCTTTAGCCTGTGACTTCATGCAATGGTATTGTTACTGTATGAGTCCTGCATACTGTTTCTGTGATGTCATTTGCTTTTATTAATAGTACAAAAGCAAATGAGTTTTCTGATGGTTGAAGGAGTTGACTTCTAATCAGGCTTGGCTTAAAAGTTACTTTATCAAAGAAAATGTTTGGAACTCTTTGGGTTGATTTTACAATTTCTTCATTTTTGAATTTCTCAAAATACAAAAAAACTGCTTTATACATATGTTTGTGAGCACAGAGCCCACAAACACATCCTGGTGTGTGACGCATATGAAACAATGCAGAAAGATTGAAGCTGGGAGAAGGGTGCATGTTTCTCCTGAGACATCAATGACATATTTTACATGTACTCACTTCTTCATGAGGAATTTGTTGACTGTCTTTTGGTTCCTGATGAACTGGACAATCAGTCGGTTCAGGTAAACGAACAAAGCACCACCAAATCCACAGGCAATACTGCACACAGAGAAATAGGGCAGTTAGTCCTTTTTTCCCTATTCAGTGTGATGAAGCACTCTCCATGATCAAAGTGAAACTAAATGGAATAAATTAATTCAAGAGTAAACAAAGCAGCGCATCAAGTCTTCTGCACCACCTCCATACGTTGCTCTCAGTGCATTTGGCCACAATAAAAACAATAGGAATGTAATGAGGCTCTAATGCACTGGAGGCGGGTGTCAGGAGTAAGTGCAGCCATAAAACAAATACGGGTCAGGGAGGGAGATGATGTGGAGGAGCAGCATTAATGTAAATACAGAAAAGAAAGAAAGAAAAATAATAGAACAAAAACAAAATGGATGTAGAAAATTGCTGGCATTAAAAACAAGAGACTAAAGCTAAGAGTGAGACAGACGGAGCGCGCTGTCAGCTGAGGAAGTGTGGGAGCTGGAGAAAAGCCGAAGGAGATGTTTATATAAGTACACATTTAAAAGCACTGTGGGAGATATCTTTATAGCTGCCAGCAGAAAAGAAAGAAACAGGAAATAAGTGAGTGTGTGTGTGTGTGTGTGTGTGTGGGTGTGTGTGTGTGTGTGGGTGTGTACGTGTGTGTGTGCGTGTGTGGGGGTGTGTGCGCGTGTGTGTGTGTGTGTGTGTGTGGTGGTGGGGGTGGAGGGGGGGTATAGTGGTTGCTGCATTATTAATTCCATCAAATATGTTTTAATAAAAAATGACCAGGATGATAAGGTAGTCTTTAACCCCCTAATGACGCATAATGAAAACAGCAGGTATGCTTTTGGTCGCCTTTTTTTCTCAAAAATAATCAATTTTGTTGGTCTAATTCCAGTTTTGGGCAAAATTAGTGGTAGGCCTCATGAGGTGCTGATCATGAGGTGTTAGGTAATGGTGGAGTTGGTTTATTACTTATTTTTATTAAAACAAAATTCTACGGAGAAGGTCCAGAGGAGAATATGCAACAAATATCTTACTGAGGAAGAGCTCATAAGGTGCTTTGTTCATCTCAATCTTTAAAGAAGTTCTCAGATTTGCATTTTACTAAATAGTTGTCATTGTACACATAAACTACTCAGGACTACATTCAGTTCATTCTCTCTTGGAAACCTCAAAGCTTCTCAGAAAACAAACACAGCCTGTTGGTAAAATACTCTCCTCTATTAAGTTCAAATAAACGCTACATTAAAGCTCATCACTGGGTGCATTCATCTCCATATGTATGTTGTTCTGTGCAGTAATGAGGTCGAGTTTCACTAAGCCGACCTCCTACTTCTGACGCCTGAAGGTGTAACAAAAAGGAATAGAAAGCAGCTCTTCAAAGACGTGCCCTTGGTAGCATGCAGCGCTGCACAAACCGATCCTGACCTAGTTGACTGAAACAATGACCGACTTTTCTTGCTACATGGATCCGAATGAGGGGAGATGGATGGACAAGCACTCTGTTCCACACTCACGTTGGCACAGGGAGTAAGAAAGTGAGACTGAGACTACGGGGCCATGTTGATGTCCAGTCTGGAATTAATATTTAGAGCAAAAACCATCAGCGTGAGAGTAAAAACTGAACAATAAGTCATTTTCTTCAGCAGCACATTGACAGCTAATTAAAAAAACAGTGAGGGATATAAGGAAAAGGAAGAAATTAGAGCATCCCTCATGTCTCTGCACCAACTTTTCTTTTTTGTTAGGGCTTTCTATATCATTCACAGCTAGGAAAAGCCCTGAAGCTATGACAGAATAAAATAGGACATCCCTCAGAGAACAGGCAGCTGCTGAAAAGGGTTGAATTATCCATGTCAGGAGATTTATGCAGGCCACCCTGAGGAAACACCCTCCAAATGCAAGTCAATATTCTGCCATAATAAATGGGATCACATGTCACGACTTCAGGAAACCTGCATTTTGGTTGTTTATCTGACTTTTGCACCTTTATGGTTTAAAAATGGATCTTTTGCTGGAAATGACTAGGTACAATTTGTGTTGAGCAACATTTTTCAGTTCTTCAAGGGATGGTATTCTGCAACTTTTGCACACTTCTGCGTCATCACACGTCAATCAAACAATGATACGGTTCACATTAAGCAACTCTTGTTGAGTGGTAACTCCACCATTTTCCTAATGTCTGCTTAGCAATTATGAGCAACCAAAAAATATTTTGGTTATTTTTAACTACTATTCAAGTGCATAAAAAGAGCAGCTACAGGCATTTGTGTTTTTTGTTCTTCCAGAATGTGTGATGCTGTCGGTCTGCTTTGTCCTCAATTCTATCAGTAATCACTGATTGCAAGTTGTAGACAACGTAGAGCAGGAGACTACAACCTTTACAATCAAAGGAGCCATTTTGCCCACAGACCAGCTTTGCAACACATTTAGAGTTGCAAAGGTTATCTATTTTTGATAAATATCTAGTAGATATTTTTGATTTCGATTTCCAAGTTTTAACAAAGAAAAACCTCAAATCTTTGCAGAAAGAGAACAGATACAGTTTCTTCTATGGGTTGTTGATATTAGTGGAACATTATGTGAAAAATATTTTTTAAAAATATATATTTTATTGAACAAATGTTTCAATAAAATATTGAGTAAGTTTTGGGTAAGTTTTATATAATTATTTTTAAAAATTGTAGTTATTAAAAAAAAATTAAACTCCTAAAACCTACACTTGTTCTGTATTTTTAAATGTTATTAACAATAATTGTGGAAGGTCCAAAAACCCACAGATCGATGACCTCTGACCTCGGGAAAAACTCACCCAACAACAGCGAAGGCAGGAAGCTCCTGAAGGTTAAAGGGAAATTCAAAACGGAAACGGGTTTTGAAAAGTGCCGTAATGGTCTCTGAATAAGCAGAAACATATACATAGAAAGTTAGAATATAGAACAAGCCACAACAAAACACACAAAACTGGTAATGTGAGGTCCAAATTGAAGATTTTAATTGGAGGTGTTTCAGTTTTCTGTGGAGGTACAACTACAGTTCATACTTTGTTTCTAATTACAAAAAGCAAGCTTGCCCTGCAGACCAGAACTCCTGCCATCACAGTAGACAGATGGCTAGAGAAAATTAGGTGTGGGAAATAAATGTTAGAAGCTAACAGATCACTGGGGATCAGCAGCTTGGTGAGTTGGCAGTGCAGCTCTAAAACCTAATTCTTTTTCCTGGACAGTGGTAATATATTTAAATCTGCCACCAGAGTTTCTCATATTCTGCTGAATTCAGATGTTATTCCCACCAACAGGAAATGTTAACCTCTCAGAAAGCTAATGACATTTCCCATAATACAAAGAGAGGATTCAGACGTAAATATTGAGTCAAACAGTTCAGGCTCTTTCTGCTGTTTGATAAGTTACTTATTAGTCATTGCAGTATAATTAAACAAGCTGCGAATACTATTCCAAACGGTTTTCAACAGCTTACGATTGAGGCTGCCAGTATTTATGATGCTGGAGTGAAACTCCCATAGTTATTGATTTAAAACTGGAGCAATGTGAAAAAAAAAGTTCTTTTAAAAGTCTGTTAAAAAGTTACTAACCAGAGGTGCAAAAAAAGAAAATTAAATTCAAATGCAGTGTCATGTAAGACTGCATATATCCCGTTTAAATGTAGTCAGATGTATTTATATACAATAAAAGAATAAAATATAGCAGCTTAAAATATTTTCGTGCTCTTGAAAATGTTTCATCATATTTCATGTTGCTGAACAATGATATGTTGTTATTTATTGTAGCTGGACCTCAAAGGAGCTGAAAATGTCTTTCCAAACTAATAAATAATAGATACAATATACTTAACAGAAAAATTTTAAAATTGCGATACAGTAAACTTCAGTAACATCATATTTAGGTTAAACCTCTTCCAATCTTTTACATGCACACACATTTTTAATAGTTGGACAAACATTATTTTAACATTTTTAAATTTTTTTAAGTTTTAGTAAATGGTGTTTTGCTCTGATTAGTGAAGATGTGTGGCACAATAAGTACAGTATTAAATTCCTGAGCTGTTTAGGTGGTTGGTTAACAGCCTGAAATTATCTGAGCACAATGATGTTACCTTCGTCTCCGGTCCAGACAGGCAGCAATCTGAAGAAAAAGGCACTGACTGTAGCTGCTAAGAACCCTCTCCAGTAGTTCCTCACAGCAAAGAATGTGGATGTTGCTTCAATACTGAACAACACACCTGCAACACAAGGCAGAACAGTAAATTGTGACATATTTTTCCTACAGACATATCTTAGAACATGATGGGAACAAAGGAGAGTTGTTTCAATGTGTGATGGTTAAACATCGCAGTATGGTGTGTGATGTGAAAACTGCGTTTTTGAGAAAGTAAGAACAAACAAAGTAAAACTGTGAAATTAAGTATTTATTGTAACAGCTTTGAAAAACTGATCTGCTATTGAAAGACATTTCATTAAGGCTATTTTAATTTCTTCATAATTCTTCATAATTGGAGTGATGGCCAATACTTCTAGTCATCTTCTTCCCCTTTTCTTATTAGTTGTGCTTTGAACTTTTCAGGTTATGGTAACATACTTAACCTTTATTTTTATGAACTATGGCCAACAGTTGTTTTTAAAATGACTTTAGAATTAATTTGACTAATTCAATCAAACTTAACAGTAATCAAAACAATTAATTTGTCCTGCAAACTCACCTCCTACGGGAGAAGCAAAGCAGCAAGCCAGACCCACCGCACAAGCTGCCACCAGCATCTCAGTGTTCCTTGACTCATTCTGAAACAGGTACAGAATGATAAATTTATTTAAAAAAAAAACAAAAAACTTAATAATGATATGGGAGATGAGGTGTAAATCTAGACAATCGACTTCAAGCAAAGTTAGAATTTCCAAGCATTTAAGGATTATTTGTCTTTCATTTTACCAAGTCACTGAATTTGTTGACAGGTTACCATTACAGTCAACTACAAACCAATTACATATCGACAGAAAGTACCAGAAAAAGGGAGCATTAAATTGCATCAATTAAAAAAAGAAATCTTGAAAAGACTGGCAAAATCCGAACAGTACCGACAAGACAAAACAGTTCATAGAATATCAGGCACATACAGTTCAGTACTTTTCTTACTAAGAATGACTCGACTTCTTACTTTGGGTACAGCAGATCAGTGTAAAACATAATAAACCAGACTTTTGAAGAACAAAGGACAAAAAAATTGTTCTGTCTTTTTGCAGGAGAAGGTGGATCAAGGTGCATTCTGAGAAACTGAGTTTTTTTTTTCTTTGACCTTTTATATTTACCTACCTTGTTTCCCAGGAGACTGAAGTCCCTCACGCAGCATTGTAATGTGAAAGACAGGTTAGAGGTACTTGTATTTCTCTCATTGTTCTTAGGTTTAGCCTGCTTTTGCATGTCATGCTACTTCTGACATACACGCACTCGCACACACATCTCACATCAGAAAGCAACTAAAGCTTACTCTGACCCAAATATTGATGGATTCAAATATTTTATCTGAGGGAGAAACTCAACTAACGTGGATTCTGATAAAATAACATTTTCTTCTTTTTATTTCACTGAATATTAGACAAGTGTATGGTCTGTTCTGTACCAAAAAATACACAATTTTCTTATAGTGTCCAACAAGTGACTTTTGGTCCCAGCGATATTGGATAAATCTTGTAAAACTATTTACCGTTGGATACTGTTTTTAAGACTGTCCAACTTTCTCACAGTGGTAGTCATTTTGATAGGACAAAGGAAGGGAAGCATGCTGGGAAATGTGTAGCTGATATGGAGCTAAGGCGTAAATTCAAGCTGGGAGACAGAACACAGCTGATCTACAAACACAGCTGATCCACTTCAATCACGTCACACCCCGCTGCGGCCAATCAGGATCGGCGCCCTTGCGCGTCCCAGCCAATCAACGTCAAGCCGGTCCATTCAAGAAGTCGAGCCTCCAGGGATCTGCCTGCTCGTCAGCTGTGCTTCGCCCACCTCCTCCCCATCTCCACCTTCAGCCCGATGACCATTCTCCAGGCGCCTTACGCGCTCCTCCATCCAAGGCTCCGCTCCATCACCAGTATTCAGACTGGGGGGTAAGACTAGTGAGCTTCGCCGGACTCAGCATCTTCCCCCAGCGATCTACGCTCACTAGTCTTCCGCCGGTTCGAGCGCCAAAGATTTGTTCATTAAAATCTCCTAACTGCTTGTTTTTCTCTGTGTGAGTTGATCCAGATTGAATTACCTTAATCCCTATTAGAACCGGCTCCTTCGTGTAGCAGGAGACCAAGAGACAGCGTTAAACAGGCAGAGAAGAAACGATTAAACTGTGTGAATCAGCACAGCCATTTGAATGTTTTAGCATTTACACTCCATCACCTCGCATTCACAGACCTGAATAAAAACATGTTATGCAATTAGGTCCAACTAGCCCTCTACAAATGATGACATTCTCCACATGCATATAAGCCTTTCATCCCCTTTTTTTGCAGTGAAGTACAGCACTCTGGAAAGAAAAGCTGCTTTTTCACAGCCCACAAGTTACATTAGCAAACTGTACTTAAAACTGTGGAGAGGACCGAATATAGCTGCAGTGGCACTTCACTCATGCATCACTCTATCTATTAAAGTGCTATAAAGTGCAACACATGGCTCTCCGGGGATAAGGAGCCACTAAGAACATAAGATGGAAACAATGTAATGGTAATAAAAAATAATGCATGTGAAGATGGACAAATAAAAAGAGAAAAAATGGTTGAATGAAAGATTTTAAATGAAGGCAGAAATGTGACAAGTGGTGTAAGATGCATGTCAAATAAGAGATGCTCAATTTATTAATTCTTTCATTTATTTAGATGAAATAAACGCACCCATTGTATGTGGTGTGAAGCTTCTTGGGATCTTTTTATTCCAGATCTCTTGATTCCACAGGTCTGGCAAAATTCAAGCCTGGGTGTGAAATTCAACTCCACTTTCTAAAATGCATTTTTTCATAGTTCATTTATGATTTATCATAGGAAGGCAGTTACTTCTCCACATAGGTTAGGTGTTGATAACATTTTCCTTGTTAGGAAATAAAGTCATTATTTAAAAGCTATATTTTGTATTGATTCTGCGTAAATGTCTCTATTTTTTATCTTAACATTTGAGTGTGACAAAAAGCAAAAACAAAACTCATCTGTCAGAAAGCAGATAGTTATGTAACACAACATCAAGGCAAGATTTAAAAAACAAAAAAAAATTGGAAAGATAAAATTGCTGTTTTGGTTTCCGTGCTTAGAAATTACAGTATTTTTACAACTGTAGTGGAGCCATGTCTGTCAACCAGGAGAGCAGATAGAGTTGGAAAAACATTCCAGCTCTGTCTGTGCCAACTATTTAGATTTACGCAGCAATAAATCTTTCCAGAACTGTTGTGATTTTTGTGACTATAGATGCATTGGGGAGGAAGTATTCAACTGAAATGCCCTGAGTGCTGTTTTCCAGTTTCGCTCACAGTTCATTCTCCAGAGAGCGCTGCTCACATCTCATTACAAGGAAAGATAAGAGTCAGAGAGAAACTCTGCTTCCTGCAAGATCCCACACTGCTCTCCCAATGGATACAACTCCAACCCCAATGAAACACAAAGTTGTTGGAAACTGTGCAGCTTGTTGACAAATAAAAGGCAATTAAACATTGATAAAATAAGTTATTGATGGATGTTAACTTTGTGTAAAAGTTATTGGAGAATGAATGAGAAGAGAAGAAAATTAGCATTTTGAGTCTCAGTAAATAACCTTTATAATTTTGTGTATTATGTAACCACATGAAACCACAGTGTCTTGTAGAGCTTGTCACTCCCCTTGAACTTCTTCCTATTTTACATAATAATCATCAATGTCAATGTATTTTACTGACATATTATGTGATCAAGACCAAAATTTTGCATGAAAACTAAAGCATTTAATTTGGTCCCACCTGAACAGAAAATCTTTTTCCATAGTTTTTTTTTCCTTGAAACTATAGTCCGAATGTGGTGCCTAATTTTTGGGGAGTGTTTAACTTTATGGATGACATCTACATGGTAATGATCTTCTCAGAATTTGTCAAACCTCTGGGTTGTTGGATTTCAAACTAAGGAGGGCTGAAAATTAATCCACTCTGAATATCTAAGCATTTCATTTATAAATACTTTTAAAAACCTGTGAATATTTTATCATTCTATTTTACAAATATGCACTAATTAGTGGTTTTTATTTGTAAACCTTAACAAAATACAAAGAAATGAAATGTGAAACAGGTTTGAGTGGCATGGATAACATTGCAAGGAGCTAACAGCAAAGTAAACATCCTAATATTGCTAGAGCCACCTGTGAAACAGACTGAAATTAACTCAGCATAAATGAGGAACAATGAATCCTTATGACTCATACCAAAATCTGTGAAACTCACCTCATAGATTCCTCCAAAGAGAGACGTAAACTTGCTGAGCTGAACAGCACACAAACTGGCAATGTGCACAAAGGGACTCTGACAGGAGGAAACATTGAAGTGATGAGACAGTTGCAATCACTTCAGGTTAAGCACCACTTTACTCCCCCTCCACATTTACTCTAAGTCACATGTGACAACATGCAGAGGCTATATGAAAAAAAATGTCAAAGCATAAATGATGGGATTAAATGTGAGAGAATTAGAAGGGGTGCACAGATAAAGATGAGGAAGAGGTCCATGCTGAATCAAAAACTACAGATGCTGCTGCAGAGCTGTGTAAGCAAAAGACCCTCAGGTGTTTCTGTGTACATGTCTGTTTTAGCATTTCTCACATTGCAAAGCCCATTTTTCCAACATATACTACATTGTGAGGACCCATTAATTATTATGGGGCCTCATAAGAAGAAGTGCTGTTGCTGGGTTACAGACTAGGTTTAGGACTAAGGTGTAAACTGATTCATAGAAATGAATGGAAGTCAATGCACAGTCCTGATGAAGATAGAAAGATTGAATATTTGTCTTTATATGTGGGAATAAAGATTTCCGATGAGGCAATTAAATGCAAATGCAAATTCATAACTGCACATGTGAATACTTCTGAGTAACTATGCAGCTGCACATTCCTCAATATGAGTAAGAGTGGCATTTAAACCTACAAGTCGTGCACTGCAACGAGTGAGTCAGTGATTCACAAAGTTGCCAGCTTGTGGAGTGTGGGTCACTGTGTGCTGCCCCTACATTGCTCACTGGCCTGGTTGTCTTCAGATCACAAACTGATGCAGGCATGATGGCAGGGTGGGGGATGAATATTGGTGCTGCTGCGTTTGCGTGTGTGTGTTACCTCCTTGCCCAGAGGCATGCCACTGCCCAGGGCGCAGATGAGCCCGATGACTTTGGCCACAAAAGTTTTGAAAGTGAGGAACTCCTTCAGCACCACTCCTCGCAGGGTTGTCTTCATCTCGGGAATGCCTGAACCTGCAGGACAGAAGGCGAGTGATAAGCAGCTGACATTTCAGTCAGAGCCGATTCATGACTTTACATATTTATGACAGAATTGTAGAATATTAACACATATCTAACAAGTTGTCTTTATTTATCCAACCAACCTGCCCAGTCCACTGGGAGTGGGTTGTTGGGGTGACTGGGACCCATCATTAGTTTGTAGTTGTCACACTACAAACACAAACCTGACCCATACAAATGAATGCATAACTTGGGAGTAAAAGTCCAGACTGAAGTCTGAGAGGAGACCTGAAACCGTTCAGACACGCTTTATTCAATGCGACTGAGCTTGAGAAAAGAAGGGGTCTCTCTAGTTCACCAGCTTTGATTAAGGAATCTTTAGACAACATATTTATGAGCCCATCCCTGTATTCCTCTACAGAGGAATGGAGGGAAAAAAAACTTACCAAATTTCTGCTGGATAAGCTTTCAAATTTGTAGGAGTGCACCCATCCTTAGCTTCTGTTAGTGACAGTCAAGTCTTCTCCTGACCTGCCAGAGTGTACTTACATACTGTGCTTTGCTGCATTCAAATAAACCAAACCTGAATGGAAGGAAGTACTGATGTATTCAAGACACTAGTGTGGAATTTTGTCTACAAACTTGTAGACAAACAGAGAGGGCAAGCTAGGGAACAAATGAGAGGTCTTCTGATAAAAAGTTTTTACTTTCTGGGCAGAAACCTCTGCCCAGAAATATTAATGTTAACAATATTTAATGTTAAAACATGTAAATATTAATGTTAAAGAAAACCTTAATAATGCATTTTAACAAGCTTTATACAGGGTACTAATATACAACAAAAAAATTATCTATTTTAAAAAGACTTGCTTTATTAATTTAAAAAAAACTGTCTTTAGGCAGCAGCTAACAATCATTTTGGTAATTGATTATTTCAATAATTATTAATTTAAAAATAACTGGCACATTCTGCAATGTTTTCATGTAACCACTGAAGCCCTTTCATTCAATATCAGAAAAACATTAAAATATGCTAATAAATAAATTCTGTTTTAATTAAACATAGCATTTCTTTAGTGCAAATGCAAATCCATTTGTAGTTTGCAGCTTGATCATTTGATGCAAACTACAAAAAATACTTCTAACAACAAGGAGGGGTCAGCATTATGCTGAGGGAAAGCATCATTGCCAGTGTCACTGCTGTATTGTTCAGAGCTGAGGGAACAATGACCGAGGGCTACTTCCAAAATCATGGAAGTATTCATTTGTGTGTCGGTCTGTGTGTGTGTCATACCAACAGCCTGGGGAGCGAGGATCTGAGTGAAGCCAGCAGAGAAGGTGATAAGAACCACAGGGCAGGTGACCCAGGCCAGGTACTGCAGGAACACGTTACTGTCCAGACCATCATATATCCACTTCTGTGCTGTGGAAACACACATGGGTAGAGCCAAGGGGTGTTTAAGAAACAACAAAATTAGAGCAGCAGCACAGACACGGGGGGAGGTTGTGTATCTATACAAGGTTTGACTGTGTTGGAGAAACAGGCCTCATGGGTGATTTAAAAACAAGCAGGTTGAATCCAGTTCAGCACCAACTGGAGCAAACAGCTCTCTGTTAGTTCATTTTACCTTTATTTCATTTAGAAGTTTGTTTTAATTAGATAATATCCTGATAAATTTCAAATCAGGTCTACAATCTTACCTCCATTTTCTAGTGTTTATCTCCCAGTATCCATCCTGATGTTTATGACTAATCGAATATTTCTGCTCACTCACCTTTGACTTCTCCTAATTTATGCTGATTTATCTTTTTTTAACTTATCCAATGGTGCAGTATTCCAACAAGATATGTGCAATAACATTTATCAGCACATTTTTATCCTAGGCATCTACTTCCATTGGGTTTTGAAAAGGCTCCAAGGTGAATACAATATTCTACGAACTCATCTTTTTATTTCACATCACATAACCATGATGGATATGAGTTTTGATCCAGGTGTGATCCAGACACTGATTTCCATCAACCTTAAGCCTATTCCTGTTACATACTCAGCAATAAAGTCAGAGGCTTGCAACATATTCCAAAGTGAAGATGACTTGTGTTGGAAGGCCTGAAATTGCTCTCTGTTAGGCAAAAAGTAAAATCTAAGTCTTTCAAATTGGTTGTCAAGCCTTAATATATTGATCAGAGACATCAGATTTGAACAAGAACTTTAAAAACGGCAAGTAGGGCATTTTGCTGATGAAAGCCTCCTCTGCTCCCTCACCTTGTAGGAAGATACCAATGCAGATGTCTACCACCCAGCTCAGCAGGCCCGTGACCAGTCCAAGCAGGATCAGGAAGATCCAGTCCTCTCTCACTAGTGAGATCAGGAATTTTTGGCAGCAAACGGTGCAAACTGCAAGAAGACAATAGAACATGTTAGCTAAGGGGCATTACCTAGATTAGAGCCAGGTTTCAGTGGCCTGACAAAATGTAAAAAGTTCAAGGAGTGTGAAGATTTTTGCCAGGCTTGATAGTTTAAGACAAAGTTAAATATGCTGCACCCAACTAATTCAGCTCAGGTACACTGTTTAACAGATATACTAATCATGACTAATTGTGGTTGCTGAACATTACCTTGGTTGTGAAATAGAGCAGTCTCATTAGCATGTATATATATATCCACGACAAAAAGACACCCCCCAAAAAAATGACATTTAGAAAAATGTTGCAGCATCTTTAGCAGGTTTTCACTTATCTAAAAAAAAAAAAACCTTCATACTCCCCTCAGTAGAAGAAGATGGCAAAATCAATAGTCTGAGTGCAGCAGTATTTATAATTTATTAGAGCTATTGCTCCTTCTTTTCCTCTCTAAGCCATGCCACTGCTCTGCAACCATTTGCTCTGTGATCATGACTGGATAATTTAAATGCTTTTGTGTCAATGCTTTTCAATCAGATAAGATAAAAAGTCCATTTGAATCAAACAAACTGGACTTTTACAGTTTTGTTACTTTCCTATAATAATATTCATGATGCATTCATTCAGTCAAATACAAAGGATGCAGCAGAACTGCACATCATGAGAAAAAAAAAAAACATTGAATGATAATGTTCTAGGAGAATATTGAATCTCCTCCTAGACCTCCTCTCTCAGGGGTTAGAACCTCAGCCAATATCATCAACATCAGTTTTTTGCATTAAATTTGTTAACGTTTGTGAGATACTGCTTGCATGGAAATTATGATGCCAATCAATTAATTATAGTGATGCAAAATAACAAAATAAACCTTGCTGTTAATTTCTTTCACTTAACCAAGAGAAGACCTTTCATTAATGAATGGTGGTTATTTACTTGTCCAAGCTGGGGAACTTTAAACTGAGATTTTATTTTCACGGAACTGCTGCGGTTTGAGAAGGCCTGTTAGGACCATTTTGATCTTGCATAACCAAACTATGAATCGTGACCATATTCTGTCAGAGAGTTGGACGTGGTTCCAGTGCAGATTGGACTCCACCAGAGGTCTTCTTCGTCGCGAGTCCTGTTTCTGGCGGTCCAAACTCGCTGAAGGAAATGGGACTGAAGCACCTTAGGATGCCCCTTTGTGAAATGTATAAATGATTTTAAAGAAATGTTTTCTTTTTTTCTGAATGCAAATCAGAAGTTAATAAAATAAATTTAAAAAAACAACATAAAAAACATGTGAAGGTCCTGTGCATGCAGTCATTTTGATTGTAGAGAAGGGAAAATATAGCCGTTGAAGCAATGCATGAGATGAGGAGAAAATACTGCAGGGATTGGAAAGAAAACCACATGCACACATTCTCCAATTAACACCTTGAGCTGTGAACTGAGGCAAAAGCTGTGAGAAACGCTTCCCCCATCGCACAGATTTGCCTGTGCTTTCCATCACTCCATCTCCAATTTTGTGACAGATCAGAGGAACAGGACTTGTACATGTGTATATTTAGCTTTATGCGTTATGTGAGTGCATGTGTGCATGCTTGTGCGTCATCTCACCCACGGGCCGTCTGTGTTCCTACACCCCTTCTGTCATCCAGTCAATGTAAGAAAAGTGTGTGTGCGTGTGTGTGTGTCAGCATGCACACATGCAGGCATGACTTCCTTGTGCTTCTGCGCAGAGTGTCTATGTGCCTTTACAACATCAAGTGGAATTTGGGCTCTTTGGATGTATAAATTTGTTAGCTTACAGTGCTTGATGGCTTTTCAGCAAATATTTCAGATTTATTTGTATCCCAAATTGGGCAATTGATCTTAGAGGCACAGAAACACAGCGGTTCAACAGACTAGTTGCTGCCTTTATTCTTCATGGAATGCAATAAGCAGCATGTTCCTTCACAGTGACTCTGATCACCAGAGTCACCCCATGCATCCTCCCTCTTTACCTTCATCCATCTTGTAATCACATTCAACCTCTGACTTGGCTTCTAAGCTCCACATCTCCCTCTCTTTCTCTCTCTTGCAGGTCTTATTTGAAACTCTTCACTCCTCTTTTATGCTGTCTTTCCTTTCTCTGCACTGCTTCCTTCTATTCCTTTTTTAGTCTTACATGCGCACGGCTCAATCTCTCCTCACCAAGAGACATAGTGCCCACAAACCTGCTGAGACTAATTTAGGTTGTCTTGGATACACAGTGCATCAAGCTCCTCGGTCTGACATTAGGGAACTGCATTAGAGAATGGTCTGCGTCACTCCCGTCTATATATTTTTTTGTCAAATTAAAAAACTATGGCTGGACTGAAACATCTTCAATAAAACAATTGCTGACAATTTATCTGGGCATTTCAGATAAAGTTGTGAGGCACAGGTTCAATGCGGCATGTAAACATCTGCACACCTGAAATGGGTCTTTGCAACAACAGCAGACTGCGTTTGCATGACCTTTAGGCAGAACAAAACCATTTTGGAAACCAACACTGCTTCCATTCTGCAGTGATTTTACTGTGAAAATGAGGAGAATAGAAAAGCAGAGTGAACACACGCCTTTGAAGACCAACACTACCGGTACAGATTCCTCATTACTGCTTCCACTGAAAACCCAATTATTCAAATCACCCCTTTATGTATTATGCAAGGTGACAGCTTTCTAAGGGTGTAAAAGGCCTAAAAGGCTGACCATTAATACACCAATTTTGTTCGGTCATGGCAATGAGGCATGCCCCCTTTTCGTGTCTATGTGGCTCCACATTCATTATGGAGCTTCATGCATGAGGCAGAGATTCAATTAGAAACGGCTCGCTGCGCTTAAAACCACCTGCTTAATTAGATCAGGAGGAGCACAGATAGACAAACGCCACCGTTCACATCATTTGAGTTTTAAATGCCAATGCTGACTGATACTGGATGGATTCAACTGAAACTGATGCTTGCCGCCAATCGGTGTACACACACACATGCATACATAAGTTAAAGATTTTACATAAATTGTCAAATTATTTTCAGAATTTTTACAAACAGTGTCCTATCTGAGTTGGATCAGATTTTAAATTAACCAAGTGCAAGTAAAAGAAATAAGCAGTTCAAAATAAAAGACCTGCAAAACTAGCAAGAAATGCATTATTCTTCTGGTCTTGACTTAGACAGTGGTCTAATTAGCTCATCAGCGGGCGTGCTGTGGTGGTGTAGGGGATAGCGCGACCCACAGTTGGAGGCCTTGAGTCCTCACCTCGACTCCCAGACCCAACGATATTTTCTGCATGTCTTCCCCCCCTCTTTACCTTTACCCCTTTCCTGTCAGCCTACTGTCATATAAGGTAAGGGGAAAAAATTATGATTAGCTCATCAGCATGCTATCAAGTTCTCTGGCAACATGCCAACTATCAGTTGAGCAAAGTGTGCTCAAACAGGAAAACACTAAAACTTGCAGGACAGAACTTGAAATCGGACTTTGGACTCCACTGTTTAAGGGCTGGATATACCTCCAAGGTTACATCAGCTGCTTAGTGCTCATGGATAAACATGCACTTCTATTCAGACCATTTTTGAGCATGTCCAGGTTTCACTCAAAAATAAATAGCTTTTTACGGCAGCCTTATCAGGGAACATAATGTGATGTTTATAAAATGTCCACAAACAAAAGAAGAAAGAAGATTTCATCAGAATGTTCAGAATGTATCACTTTTGTACACTTGCATAACATTTTAAAAAGTAGATCTCTTCTGCATGTATTTTTTTCTTATTCTGCTCATAATCTGACCAGTCATTTCTGTCGTCTGCACAACCTGCATGCTCACAAGCATCTAAGCTGCACATGACTCTAGATGTGCTCAGTGGGTCACTATCACTGTCTCTATACAGATGACAAAATTTACATCATAAAGTCTTCATGTTGCAGTAACCAGTAGCAGCTCAACATAAGGATTTGAAGAAGATTTTAAAAACTACAAGCATGGACTGGTTTGAAAATATTCTTTGAAAGATCTTGCAACAAGAACCCAGATTGGTTCAGAGTGTTTGCCTCTTTAAAGATTCCTCAAAACCTAGCTCATCCTAAATAAATCAAAGAATCAATGTAATTTCAGTGAAAAATAAACTAATTCTGTAAATGAGTCAATGCAGAAGAATGGAGATTATTAAATAAAGAAAAGAGCTTACAAAACAAATTGATCCCTAAGGACAACAAAAAAAAGTCGTCAAAGAAATAAAGATAAAAAATAAACAAATATGAATCTGTAAATGTTTGTTCTGCTACTTAATGAGACCATCGTCATTCCTGTGAACCCTGCAACTGTAACATCTCGTTCTCCTGACTCGTCTTTCCATTAATCCCTCTATCCATTCCTCCTCCGCTCCCTATTTCGTGTTGATGTGTTCTCTATGCTAATAAGATGAAAAGGGAAGGGCTGCTTATGTAAATGTTCTGTAGCAGCCACTGTGTCGGTCCCCAGCGAGCAGCAAAGCGTCTCGTCTCGCGCTCAATCACTCGGCGAGTAACGACTGTTGTGGCACCAGTCTTATGGCTGCAGAACAATGTCTGCTTAATGAGGTGGAATGGTGTGTCTGTATGGACACACATGCACCACCAGATCGGAGGCTGGGAGAAATCCGCCACCTTATTATGATACATAAACTGCTTGGGTATCCTTTCCTGATTGCAGGCTTTAGGGTGTGTGTTTAAGTCGTCTATAGGAGGGTAACATTAAACCAAATCAGGTCGTTTTTCCTCAATTTAAAGCTTAAGCAGAGCAAGGATGACAAATGCCTTGCAAAACATATTAGAGATGCTTTCAAGAAATAAACAGTTTCTGCTCTGGATCCAAATTCTCATTAAAGGAGGATTATAACATGCTAAATACCAAATGCTATAATCTAAGTTTTGGTCCTCATTTTGCTTGTTGAGGAGCGCCTTACCACTTCTGCATAACTTTAAACTGAAATGTTAAGACTTCAATGATT